CTCGGAATTTCCCGGGCGCCACGTCGGCCCGCGCGACCGCGTCCCAGGAGCGTCGGCCGACGGGGTCGGGCGAGATAAGCGAGTCCCTCAGCCGCGCGGGAAGATCGGCTTCAGGCACCCAGCCTTCCGGGCGAAGGTGGGGGGCACCAGTTGAGGAGCTTGCGTCGCTTTGCGAGATGGGCTGGGTATGTTCGGGGCGCCCGAGCTAGTTCTGGCTGACGGGTGCGCCGCGATGGCGACGGTCCGCTCGCCTTCGCGGCCGCCGCCGCATGCGCGGCCCGCGCCCGAGGGCCCTCGGAGCTGAATTTGAATTTCATCAGACGTGGTCAGAAGTGTTGGAACTTTCCTGGAAGGGCAAGGTTGCGGCTTCGTCGCCGCTGGAGATCCCGGGTGTTCTTTTGGGCCTATGCGAGGCCAACGTTGCCGAGCTCTTGGGAAGGGGCCATTGCGTCCGCCGATGGCCGCGCTCCATGTTCGCCGGCGGGGGGGCCGGACGCGCGCGATTTTCTGTCGCCCCAGAATCTCCGAGCAACTGTTTACAAGGAGTGAGGGCGCCAGCCGAGTCCGAGCCCGCGCCTCGAAAGCCCGTTCGGAACAGATTCCACCCTGCTATTGCTGATTTCGCGGCCCCCGCCGTCCGTCGCCACCCTAGCCTTCCTGCGTCGGCCTTTCGGGGCTCCGGCCGTGTCCTGGCGACCAGGCCGAGGCCCTCGATGAAGCCGCGAAGGCTTACCAGACTGTCCTGGACGGAGATAAGGAGAACGCCGTTCAATTGCTTGCCCGAAGCTACGTGCTCTGGGCTAGCACCCCAGAGCATGACCTGGCCAGGATCTCGAGGGCGGAGCAGCCCGCGTTCGGCGCGCGCGGGGGGCGCCCCAGGACGTCGCGGAAGCCGTCGCACAAAGCAGGGGGCGAAGAGAAATACCCGAGGCGCAGTTCCATCGCGCGATTAGCAGCGCAGCCAAGGTCTTGCAAGAGCAACCTCGTCGACGATGGGGCGGCCATTCAGCGCGGGAGTCATGGTTCCGCCGAGGGCGTCGTTCGCGCGTCTCGGGGCGTCGCCGCGCAGGGCGACTCTGAGTGGCGCGTCTTCTTGCAGACGGGCGTTGGCTTAACTTCCCGCCGCGCCTCGCCCCCTCGCGCCCGCGCTCCATCCGCGCCCAGTGCCGACTTCAGTTATGCGGGATCTCGATGGAGTGCGATTGGTTTCTCCGAGACTCGAAGACAATCCCCGTCTTGCAGGGCGGAAGCCAAAATGCTGTTCAACTCGGTCGATCAGGCCCACGGCAAACCTAGGGCGTCGGCGGTGGCCATGCGCAAGGCTGCGCGGCAAGAGTGGGCCAGGGCAGGATCAGGTACTGGAAGGAATTTTGTTCAGATTGCCATTCGAGGCCCTGGGTCCTGAGCCCGACGACCACCCTTCATGCCGGTGGCATCATCGTTGCTGATCATGATGGCCCGGCTGAAGGCCGAGGGAGGGTAAATTTTCGCTCGCGTGGGAGAAAGGATACGGCATGGGCATCCACAGGGGGGCCGGGGGAACCTGCGCCGTTGCCCGAGCCGTCTGAGGTCCGAGCTTCACCCGAGAAGTGCCGCGCCGTGCTTCGAGCGCTGTCAGCGTGGATGGCGTCCGCTGCAGGCAGTGCTTCATATTGCGCGACGATGCCATTCGGCGCCTAGTTGCGCCCAGCTGCGTCGCGGAAGCTACCGGTGCCACGCCATTGCGAATGTCGTGGTCCTGCTGGCCATTCTTGGCATGCCCGCGGGCGGCGTCCTCCCGATCGGCGCTTCCCCCAGCTGGCGCAGCCTCTGGGGGCGGGTCATACGGGCGCGCGCGCCGCGTCTGGGGCAGGAGAACCCTCGGAAGTTCTGGGCGGCCGGGACCAACCGAGGGTCTAGCGACGCGGTCTGGCGACAGGCCTATCGGGCCGAGTCGGGCACTCGTTGCGGGGAGGCTACTGCGTCCATATTCTGGGATCTCTGGAAGTTCCATGAACGTTTCAACCTCGTGTATCTCTGGGAGAAGTGCAAACAGTTGCGCTTCCCGGTACCTGTTGCCCAACTAGCCATCGGATCGCATGCCTCGGCGAGGCATCTCTCTCCTGGGGGGCGCGCCCGGGCCAGTGCTTCGTCGGACGCGGACTGGTCACACTGGCGTTTGCGATGGAACGTTTCGGCGCGACCCCCCGAGCGCCAGAATTCGACCCTGTTGCCTACCTACATCGATGACCTAGGGCGCTGCTGCGCTGGCAGAAACAAGATGGCCGCGCGCTCTCTGGCGGCTGGATCTCGGGCTCTGCGTCGTTGCAACGCCGAGGTTCTGCGCTGTAAGTCAGCGACGGATTGGGCGGGGGCGGTGGCTGGCAATTTGCTTGCTGGCAGCGCTGAGGGTGGGGCTCCAAGTCGAGTTCGGCCCCCTAACGGGGCCAGGTCAATCATTCGGTCCGGCCTTTAACCTCGGCGTCGACTTCGCTGCTGGCAGGGCCATCAGGGCCCCCTGGTCGAGGTGGGGCGGTCAGGCTGAAGGAGCGCCATGCGTCTGCGTTCGGAAAACTCGCAAGCTCAGGAGGCTGACTGACACTGTCGCTGGGCATTTCTGGCGCTTCTGACAGAGAGCCCTGCCCTAGCAGGTGCCGAGCCACGTTTCTCGAAGCGGCCCCCTGTCTGAGCTGCGCCTTCGTGAAAGTCACCCACTGTAGAGAGCGAGCGTCGCCCGCTGATTCGCGGCGCGAAAGAGGCGTGGCTTCGTCGCGCGAAAGCCTTCCCTGCGTGCTTGAGTTGCGTGGAGGCTGGGAATCTGACCTTTGGGCGCGACCAGCACTCGCGGGCCCAGGTCAGGGGCCCCCCTCTCCGCCCTTCGCATGCGTGCATAGGCGTGGCTGGGCCATGCCTAGCTTCTTTGCGTTCGAAGACGCATTCGGTCGCGAGAAACGCCTTGCCATCTCCGCCCCTAAGTTCGCCAAGGTTTTCAACGCGGACGCGGCGTTCAGAAACCTGGGGCGGGATTATGGGGGCACTTGCGGTTTAGGGCATAGGTTTTGTTGGGATGTTGTCAAGCAGCTCCCCCCTCCTCGAAGTTCCTTGCCGAGATCAAGGGTCTCATCCGCGCTCGGGCTACCATCGCGCGCTGGGCGGATGCTGATTTAGTTGAGGCTGCCAACGCAGCTCGGACTTGTGTCAATTGAGCGGGTTATGCGAGAGATGCGCTGCTCCGCCGTCTTGTTTCTTGCAAGCGCGTCCAGGCGCAGCGCGGCGAGTTGCTGCCTGCTTGGGCGCGGGAGGCTGCGAGAGACGTTGGTAATCAAGAGTGCGAGGAGGAAGTGTTTCTATGGTGGGGCTTTCAGACATCCTGGAGATTCTGCGCCACCCCCTCAGGGTGATGGTGGAGTTTCGCTGCCCTGCAACGCCGGCGACCTGCCTCCTCCCCACATCCGCCTGCAGCGATGTGAGGGTTAGTCCTGAGGCTTCTTGTTTTGGTGCGTCTTTGCATAAAAAAAGGGTCGCGACGTGGGCGCGTAATTCGGATCTCTCGAGGGCGGGATGGGCGGTGGTCATGGTGGGCGAGGGCGGGAAATTCCTTTGCACTTTGAAGGATCCCCTGTGGGCTCCCTGGCCCCCGATCCCGCAGGCCGCCGAATTTGGAACGTTGGCCTGGACGGGAGTGGGAAATTGAGTTTTCGGCGCGGATGCGCTCAGCGGTAAGAACATGTTCTGGCCAGGCGATTCGAGCTAAGCATCTCTTCGGTCTGCGTCTCCGGTCCTTGCCCAACGCTGCTGCCCAAGAGGACGCGGACGCGACAGAAAATTCCTCATCCAAGAAGTTCTCAAGGCTTGGCAACTTGTACTCCGACCTTGTTGCCAAGCAAGGGGCGGACGAACATCCGGCTATGAGTCCTACTGAGGCGGGGGCTTTGGACAAACGGATCATGATTTCTTTCAGGAGGGGAACGACACACAGACACAATAACTCGTCGATTTCCCAAACAACATAGGAAAATATTGGCAGTTGGGGGGAAGACAAAAACCCAGAAAATATGGGAAGCTATGGGAAATCCGGTTATTTGTGTTTATTTATTTGTGTATCTCAGGGCCCCTTCACATTGTTGAATTCAGGGGCACAGTTCGGTCCAAGCCAGTAGTTTTTGTGGACAAGACGCCCTGGTCGTTCCTGGGCTCGCGTCGGGTCCTTCTGGGGTGGCCGCGTTTGTCTCCGAAGCTCGCGTTCCAAAGGGCTCCCGCCTCCTGGGGATTGCGCGGGACACACCCGTTGCGATCAGGGTGTCTTGCAGAGGTTCGGTCACAGAGTGGTTGCGTTTTTTTGTTGCTCTGATGGGTCGCACCTCTTCGCTTGTCAGACCTATACGTTCCACAGCAGTGGGGCGCAGGTCAGCAAGCTGGGCAAGGCTTGCGGGTCGCCCACAATTACAAGCACACGTAATACGCGACGGCTCCGCAAAGGCCTTCATCCCGATAGGGATCAGGCCGCCGCTGATATTGACGAGGTCTTGTTTCCTATCTAGGAGGCGCTTGCGACTTCGAACCCTGCCTCAGACTCGAGCAGGTGACTCGTACTGTGCTTGAGGCAATGGCGCTGCTGCCCCCCCCCCAAAAAAAGGGAGGACGACGACGGTGAGGAGGTGGAGGGGGCAGAGGATGACGAGGAGATGGAGGAGATGGAGGAGATGGGGGCGGATAGTGGTTGTTGCGAAGAGGGGGAGGGGGGAGGAAGAGGAGGAGGAGGAGGAGGAGGAGGAGGAGGAGGAGGAGGAGGAGGAGAAGGAGAAGGTGAAGGAGAAGGAGGAGGAGGAGGAGGAGGAGAGGATGAGGGAGAGAAGGAAGAGGAGGAGGAGGAGGAGCGGGAGGAGGAGCGGGAGGAGGAAGCAGCAGCCGCCACAGGGGCAGGGGCAACGGCAGGAGAGGCAGGGGGGAGGATAATCTGGATCGGCCCATGTAGTCACGCTGGACCTGGAGGGCCGGAGGGGGGGGGAGCTTGTCCTGAGGCGTGGAACCGCTCGTGCCCAGAGGGCTCGCGGAGCGGAAGAACGGCGCCGCTGGGCGATAATCGGGGGCGTCCAGGAGGTGGACGGGCTCTGCAGGGGTGTAGGGTGTAGGTACTCCATGGCTGGGGCCATGAGACCTCCAGGATGTCCTTGCCCCCTCGCTTTCCATCGGTGTTATCCATGGCCACTGCTCCCCTCCCCCCTTCGTCCGCGAACACGTTTCTGGCCATGACCTTTTGCCTTCACGCATGCACGGCCCCCTCATGGACGCCCCGGGACCAGCGTCACAGCCTCCAGTCCAGGTCAGTCTTGCCCAGTCCTTCTTCCCACTCCCCGCGTCTCCTCACCCCTTTCAGTCCTCCTCCCCTCCCGCCCTTCTACCTCCCTGCCCTCATGCATCATCCTCCCTACCACCCTCCGCATCGTCCCACTCCCCTCCCTCCTTGCCCCCTCCCTCTCTCCCCTGCACCCCCTCCCTCTTCCACTCTTCATCCCTGCACCATGGACACAATCTGGACATTAGTTTCTTCTCTCCCCCGATTCTGTGTTGTGCGGGGATGTCCCTTCCGCATCTTTTTTCTTTCGTGCTCAGGATTTGTCCTGTCAATCGGACCGCCTTCGATTCTACAGCATGGTGCCCCCAATGCAGAGCTGGCCGCATTTCAGGATCGGCGCCTTGCTCCCGTCGTTCAGATTCGCGCTATCGGCCCGGCGCTGGCCACATGTCGAATCCGATTCGTCTATCGTCGCTGCCCTGCCCCTCATGTTCGCTCCTCCGCCTTTTCCTGGTCCTCCTGGTCCTCCCGCTCGTCCCACTCCTGCTGCTGCTCCTCCTCGTCCTCCTCATCAGCACGTTCGCCCCTCTGCTCATCCGCCACCCCACTTTCGCCTAAAGCACATTGCTCAGTCTCTGATTGTGCATCCCGCGATAGGGGTCACTTTGACGACCAAGGGGCCACGGCCACCTAGGACACCCCAGCCAGGGGACAGATTGAGCATACTTCAGCGCAGTGGAAGGGCACATGTGCGACGATCGGATGTCAGACTTGACGCGGGCGCACACACATACAGTGGTTTGTTTCCGTTCTCCATCGCCTTAGTCCTTCCTCTTTCTATTGCATCATGGTCACGAGGATCGAGCGGGAGGGATGAAGAGAGTGGAGGGGGAGAAAGATAAGGAGGAGGAGGCGGAGGAAGAGGAGGAGGAGGAGGAGGAGGAAGAGGCGCACGCCGAGGCGGAGGATGCTGAGAAGAAACTTGAGGAGGCGGAGAAGGAGGGAGCTGGAGGAGGAGCAGGGGGAGGAGGGAGGAAGAGAATGGTGAGGAGGGGGAGGAGGAAGAGGAGGAGGAAGAGGAGGAGGAGGAGGAGGAGGAGGAGGGAAGAAGAGGAGGAGGAGGAGGAGGAGGAGGAGGAGGAGGGGGGGAGGGGAGGATGAGGAGAGGGAGGAGGGAAGGAGGGGAGGAAGGAAGAAGGAAGGAAGGAAGGAAGGAGGAAGGAAGAGGGAAAGGAGCCAGGAAGGAGTGCGGGTTGGGGGGAGAGAGGGAGGGAGGGGGAGGAGGGGTAGGAGCATGATGACGAGGAGGAGCGATGAGGAGCGAGGTGGCGGAACAGGGAGGGGGAAGGAGGGAGAAACGAGGACAAGAAGAAGGAGGAGTAGAAGGAGCAAGAGCGGGATTGGCGTGTGTTGCGGGAGACCTCCAGGTGTCCGCGGGCGATACCTTGGTATCTGTGAACGGCGCGGCGGACTGTTACAGCATGCTCAACGCCCTCAGGAGCGACCTGCTTCTGAAGATGGTGGTCTCTGTCTTGTCCTCCTCCTCCTCCTCGTCCTTCTTCTCCTCCTCCTCCTATTCCTGCCCCTCCACCTCCTTCTCCGCTTGCGCTACTTCGCGTTCGCTACACCGCAGCCCGTCATGGTTGGGACTTCAACCATACAAAGTGTTAAGACGAGTGCGCGCGGCGTTAAGGCGATTGCCTCATTTCTAAAAGGAGCCGCTCTCCATGTTCAAGCTGCTTCAACCTTTACCACGAAAGAATCTGGCGCTAAAACGAGAGCCGCATGTTGAACACCACGTGTCCTCTATCTTGGAACCCGTTGCAACATTCCAAAATGAATGTGCGCGGCGTTGTGAATCTGTTGCAGATTTCAAGCTTCAGGGTTGTCATAGCTGGTGAGGAAGTCTTGGGCGAAACGCCTGGCCCGCCCTACCGACACGTCTGGGGGTGCGACAGGGAAGCGTTGTGTATAAGCACAAGGGGTATAGCAGGAGGAGGTGGAGGAGGAGGGAGAGGAGGAGCAGGCTGCACAAGGAGGGGTGGGTGGCGGAGAACAGCAGGGCAGACGCAGGAGTGGGCGGTGGCGGAGGACGGGGAGGATGCG